GGATAACTGTCCTTGGGACACGCTTTGTTCAAATCAGAAAAATCGATACACAGTCTCCATAGCCCGTTGCTCTTTTTGACAAGGACAGGATTTGAGACACATGTCGGATATCTGACTTCTTTGATGAATTTGTTGTCGATGAGTTTGTTGACCTCTTCTTCCAGTGCCTTCTGTCGGTCCGGCCCCAGTTTTCTTCTTTTCTGAACAACAGGGCGGACCGTTCGGTCGAGGTTTAGCTTGTGGCTAGCGACACCGGGGTCGATGCCCTTCATATCTTCGTGTTTCCAGGCAAAAACATCAGAATTGTGTTTGAGAAATGAAATAAGTTCTGACCGAAGAGGGTCTTGGAGATGACTCCCGATGCGCAATGATTTGTGGAAAACTGGTTCATCAACGTATATTATCTCCACGTCTTCTCCAGGTTCGGCTCGATCACTTCGGCTTTTTTCTTTAAATTGGGCTCTTGGGTCCAGCTCATCTTCTTCAAGGATGGGTTCCTTTCCAGGCCGGCGACCTCGGTCTTCGGTCAAAGGATCCGAGGTGGGAGGATCACCGTCGTGGTTGTTTGGTTCTTCGGACACCGTGTCGTTCGAGACGCTTCGTAATGGTGAATCGCTCGTCGAGGTGGAATGGACTCCGTTGGGGGGTATGAATGTAATAAGTTCTCGAGCTTCTCTCTGGTCTCCAAAGTGTGTCCCTTCTCCTCGTGTGGTCGGGAACTTCAGAGCATAGTGAAAGATCGAAACAGCAGCTCGCAGTTTATACAATGTTGTTCTGCCGATGATGGCATTGTACTCATTATTAATATCCAGAATCTTGAAAGTTTCCATGACGAGCTTGGTGACATTCTCCGAAGTGTCGAATCTGACAGGTAAAGTGATCTCGCCGATGGGTTTCGAAATACTTCCGTTGAACCCTTGTATCTGATCATTGCAAGGTCGGATGTCGGCAGGATCAAGACCCATTTTGTCAAAAGCTTTTAACATCAAAATGCTCGAATAGGCCCCAGTGTCCACCATAACACGATGTACGGGGATTCCGCATATTGGGACGGTGATAACAAGTGCGTCGGAATGAGGGTGTGCGAAGTGATTAGCATCCTCCATATTAAAAGTTATGGGACAATTCCGATTGTTGAGGATGTCTCTCAAATCTGTAGTATACACTTGTTTGCTGGAGTTGTACGCTTGTCGAGCATAGGCTTTGATTTGTCGACGGGACAATGTACTCTGGAAGTTATTGGTGTTGACACGGTGGACGGTGATTTGCATCGGTTCAGGAGATCGACCTCGTTTACGTCCTCGGGCAGTTCCAGTAAAGTCTGAATTGGGCGTTTCCGAGGTGAACATGAATACTTCCTTGTCTCCTTGTCGGATGCGTTTTGGCATGGTACCTCGGTCCTCCTCATCATCCTCATCATATGATTCGACCTGACGCCCTGGACCTTGTCTTTGGGGGTCGGTGTTGCGGTAGAATTTTCTAAGCTGTGGATGACCAATTAATTGCAACAGTGCTGCTAACAAACTTAGACACTCATCTGTGTTGTGCCCTGGTGATTTATGATAGTCACAATACCGGGACTTGTCCAGCTTATCCTCGGGCATCCGAAGTGGTTTGGGGTCCGGTAAAATGCCTTTTCCTTTGATCTCTTCATATATGGTAGCTGCCCCTGTGGAATATACGGTTTGATAACCGGATTTCACGTCGGTAGCGTACTGTTTTCGGGCTGCTTGAACTTCAGGATCATTGGGGTCTCCTCGGGGAGGTCCCCTGAATTGAGTCTTGCTTTGCTTGTCGAAAAATTTATTCTTCTTTTTCTCGTCGGTCCCCGCCTTAGAAGACTTCGGGTTAAAGTTAAAATCGGGGACCGACATGGCTTCTTCCGCTATGATGTGTTGCTGAGCTCGAGCAAGAAATTCTTGAAAAGTGTTTGGTTTATTTTGGCACAGTGTCCAGCGGAAGATCGAATTCGGTTTCAATCCAGCAATGGCCATGACAAGCAAGGTTTCTGGATGACAAGGTTCCATGTTTTGAACTCGGTCATTGAACCGGGCAATATAATCCTTCACACTTTCATCATCTTTCTGAGTTATATTTGCGAGAGATTCTTTCGGGATTAAACAAACTTGAGCTCCGATGAAATGAGATCGGAAAGCCGACCTCAGTTGTTGCCACTTCCAAATTGAATGAGGAGGAAGAGAGTGATACCATTTTTGGGCCCGAGGCCCCAGTGTAAGCGAAAACATACGACACCGAAGTGCGTCCGAGGCCCCATGCAGATCCATCCAAGAAGTATAATGACCGAGGTGCGAGTCAGGGTCTGACGTTCCATCATATAGCCCGATCTGGGGGACTTTGACTTTCCCAGGTACAAGTTCCGAAGTGAGCTCCGGAGTGAGAGGAGAATCGGCTTCCAAATACACTTGCGCCGAGGTGGAGGCCCGCCGAGGGGGATCTTCAGGTGCTCGTTGCCGACTTTCCAATTCGGCGATTCTTCGTCGCAATGTTTCAAGTTCGGATGACTCTTGACGAGCCCGATTTCGTTCTATGTGCTACCGAAGGTCGGTCTGCGCCGGGTTAGAAGGGTTTCGGCGCTGTGCATGAGGTGGTGATCGTCGTGAATGACCGGACTGGCTCTCGGCATTTTCTTCATGAGGAAGTATAAGAGGATTGCGACCGACGTCAGTACGACGTGTAGTTTGTTCTGGAGGTGGTTGTGACGCTCTATCACGAGGTTGAGAGGTCGCGTGAAACGTAGTTCTTCC